GATGCGAATCGCGGAGGAAGGCCCGACTGACCCTTCAGGCGGGTGCAGGGGCGCAAACTGTGGATTCCTTCAGCTCGCCTGTGTCCAAGAGAAGTGGCGCTTCTCACAGCTCCCCGTCCTGCTGAGCTGTAGTCTCCTCTCGGACCGGTCGGCTGCTGCCCCTCGGGGTGCTGCTCTGCCAGCTCCCGGCCCCGCCCAGAGGTCCCCGGGCTGTGTGGCCAAACCGTCGAGGCCCCGCTGCATACCCATGCCACTGCAGTTCAGTCTGGGCTGTTAGTGTAGATACTCTGCTGTTCCCTGTGGGGAGTGGAAGCTAGCAGCAAGGCCTGCATCAAATCTGTCGGAGCTCTCCTGCCAGACCATGCCTACCCTGACCAAGTCAGGATTATTAAAATGTGTAAAGGTTTCCTTTATTTCTGCTCAGAACTCGATGAAACCACATGGGAAGAGGCTGGAGTGAAATGCTGGCAATGGAGAGCTTTCAGAACAGGTGTTGTAAGGAACAGAGAAGAGAGGTGCCTGGTTTTAAAAGTGGTTAGGAAGAGTCGCTGCGTCAGAGGAAGGATAGCTGTTGGAATTTGATGGTATTTCCAGAAGCTGCATTCACTCCCATAGACCTAGGAGGGGAGGGGTTATAGGTGGGTAAACAAACAGGACCTCTTTGTTTGTTTGTTTTATGCCAGCACTGAAGCTTCCTCATAGACCTTGCCAGTTGTAAACTGCAGCTGAAATTAACATCCTCAAGACAGGCTTGATGACAAGTCATACCCCATGGGTTAGGGCTACTGATTAATCCAAGTGCTTTTCAGAACTATTAACCATCCCTTCAAAAGCTCTGCTGCTGGAGAATTTAAAATAAACTGTGTCTGAGCGTCCTATTCTGGAAGATACTTAAACCAGAGAAAGGTCTGTCTTCCAGAATTTGCAGCTGAAGAACTCTAATGCAGCTTCTTTTGGTAGCAGATTAAAATTATCACTTAAAGCTGTAAAATAACAGAATTTCTCCATATGCATGTTGCAGTTCCTGCCCCTTTGAGCAGCAGTGTCATCATCCACAGTACTGATTCCTGGAAACTTCAGTTGTTAAATATAGAGGTTACGAGATTTGGTCAGGCGTGAATAGATCATTGATGGCTCTCACCCTTCTGCACAGTAGACCTGAAGTGTCTGAAAAGAAAATTACTGGTGTACTGCGTGTGCTTAGTGAGGACATAGCCTTTCCCTCTGCAGTTGGTAGGAGACCATTCTCATCCTTTTCTAGCAGCTAGGCAAGATTTCTATTTTAGAATTTTTCCTGTACTTCTTGTAACAAGAAGCCCTCTTGTTTTCATTAGTGAAAGACGGTAACTTTCCTAAATCCTGATTATTAATATTTTTTTATTCTTTCTGATGTTCTGCTCAAAAGGCAGCTCAGGGTTTTCTCCATTTTGGGTAATGCTTACTGTGCTTGTGAGTTGTATCATTCTACTGCCACCATAAATTACTGCATGAAAAAGGAAGCACAGCGATGACATAAGAACAGCAGTGAGCTAGTATGTTCACCCTCCCAGAAGGCAGAATGAGCCACTTGTGGGATAATTGTGCGTTCACAGATTGCACACTGCAGGATACTGTGCTAGAAGCACTGCGGTTGTAAAGAAGTTGCTAGCTGCTGATCGTTTTCATCCATAGTTGAAAGACTGGTTGTAGGTGGATGAAATAACATGGTAGAAAAGCAAAAGGACTTGCATCAGAATAAGCCTGACTATGGAAGTACTTTCCTTTTTCTTTCTATTCAGTACAGGTTGAATTCCTTTGCATTCTCTGGCTTTGCCTCTACTACATTGGATAATAATGACCTTAAAGGACTGTAAAGTAACAAAGGGAGAAAAAAGTCAAAATCCTTAGTCTTGCATCTGTTGAGGTTTCTAGTCTATTAGAGTCTGGCCAGCTGCCTTTTCCGTAAGGATAAGGTGCTGATGAGAGACTACAGACCTGCAACAGGAAACTCTGCATAAAATGGTAGTGCGAATAGCACTGAAAAGGAATAATGCTGCTGGGGAGACCGTAATGGATTATGCTAGGAAACAGCCTTGAAATCATGCCATGCAGTTTTCTGTGAGAGAGAAGTATTAGCAGGGCTGCTCTGAATGTGGCACAGTGTGTTCTAGCGACTGCTGCAGTGGTGCTGATGTGAAACCCCACATTCAGTTCAGCATCACTGAAGTCTTTGGATGACTGAAATGCAAGACTTTTGCTGAAGAGAGTCTATGCTACTGCCTAGATTGTAGAGTAAAATATCCTATCTTGCTGCTGTTTTAAATTCTCATGTTTTTTCCTTCAAAAAAATGTTTAGAATTATCATTTTGTGATGTGCACTAGTAGTGCAAAAGCTGATGCAGGCTGCTGTTTGAAGTTTGATGCAGGCCCCAGCAAATATTACAGGTATTCTAAAGCACACGAAACAAGCATATCAGCATTTGAAAATACTATTTTATGTATCAGTAGTAAAGTTTATGATGTACAAAATACAGCAAATGGACAGACTAAATATTTACAGCAAACATACCAAAAAAGTAATTTTTGGATGGGTGTATGACAGTATGTTGATAGAATGTAGTCATACTTCGATGTCCTTAATCTCTCGAGAAATTTAAGGCTGTAAAGTGAACCTGTAGAGAGGAATGATAGCAACTGCTGGGGAGAAGAACACAGCAAAAGGCTTGTTGATGTGAGACTGGTGATAAAACTATCGTTGTGTTGAAGTAGGTATAACATTAGTCCCTTGGACTTTGGGTGAAAGGGGTAGGGAACTGGCCGGCTGGAATCAAGTGTACAAAACTTACTTTGAGCCTTGGGCAAAACCCACCACAATAAGAACAGGAGTATAGCTGGGCTACCTTATCTTTAGCACAAAGAACTGAAAATCCATGATTTTTCACATACCTTGTATCCTTTCCTTTTCTGAAATGACTTAACATCTGCCACTCACCCTGAAGAAGTGAATTGCTGCCAAATGCCAGAGGAGATTTGGAATTTATGTCATTGCCTAGCTTCAGTATTCTTCTGAACTTGATAAACCAGTAAAGGAACATTAAAACAGGAAAATTTGGTTATCAGTTTAAATTAAAGATTTGCAGGTCTTTCATTGGCACAAAAGCAGTATCAGTAATACAATTAGATGAATTATTTAGGTAGCTGGCAATATTATTTTGTTTAAATAAATTTGCTGGTTGCACTGACAGAGGGGAGCATGTTTATCTGGAATGTTTAAAAAATGATGTAAGCATTAATGGGTAAATGTGGGTTGTAATACTTCAATATATAGATAGGAGTAGTGAAAGAGTTACAGCGAAAATAATTATACTAATCAGCTCAACTATATGTTTTTAATAGCTCCTTATAGCCACAATGGCAACGTCATCTGAAGAAGTGTTACTGATCGTAAAGAAGGTACGTCAGAAGAAGCAGGATGGAGCTCTCTACCTTATGGCTGAAAGGATAGCATGGGCACCTGAAGGCAAAGACCGATTCACGGTCAGCCATATGTATGCAGACATAAAATGTAAGTGAACACTTTTCCTATTCCAGCTTCATGAAGCAGTATTTTTATAAACATTTAAATACAACCCAAAGCTTATTTGCCATAAAAGACTGGTAGGTGTGTTAGGAAGGTTGCAAGGGTCTGGAGCTTTGGCTAGGTCATTCTATGTAGCAGCAGAGATCAGGACCATGGTGCAGTATCACCAGTGTATTAAGGATGCTACTGCAGAACTTCTGTAGTCTTCAGATGTTTAAGTTATACTGCATTTACTATTAACTTTTGATAAACTTCTGCAATAAATTGAACAGAAAAATAATCTATGTCATACGCTTGTGGACAGGAGGAGGGTTGAGGAAGAGTATAGATTTTTTTCAGGGTCTAACACAGAAACTATCTGGCATGTCATTTGCTAAATTATGCATCTACAGCTGTTTTAATTTTCATATAAAATGAACCTTGCTGTTTTATTTTCATCCAACAGACCATAGCTTCAGAAGTGCTAGCTTCTGTAGCTTGGCCTAACTGCTAACATTCCGAATAAGCGTTTGCTGTTGCAATAGCAGAGGACTTGCAAGTCAAAACTGAACAGTAAATGTCTATAGCGTGCTGCCTTTCTGGCTTCAATTAGTGCTCATATTCCATGTGCTGTAATGCCAAAGAAGGAATAAAAAGAGAGTTTTATGTGTCACTTGGTAAAGGTTTAGTGGTTATTGCTGTTTCAAGTCACATACAAGTACTGGAGCATGATCGGCACTGTGTGTGATGAATCAAGAACTAATACGCTGTTTTCTTAAATGTGAATGTAATAAGGAATTTAAATGCTCTGTTCACCTGTAATAGTCAACTTTGTGAAGGTTTTATTTAGCTATTTACTTACCGTTAAGCAGCTCATATTTTAAATATTTACATGCATAGGCATTGAAGTATTTTTCACTCAGATGAAAGATGTTCTTTTTTGTCATCTAAAATAAAAAAAAAGGGGGAGTATTTGTAAATTTGTAATAGAAATGATGATTTAATGGTGACATTTGGTTCCTGTCTCCTGCTTGCACTGGAGAAAGGGGTAAGATTCAAAGCTGGGTTAGTCCCCTTTGCAGTGCTACACTGAAGTCAGTATAGGACAACAGTCCATAAACGTATTTGTTCAAGCCTCTGCTCCCTCTGGTTACGAGAAAGGAAGCAGCAGTTAGGTTTTTCTTATGAGTCATGAGGGTGTAATAGCACCTTGGAGGCATTGGTGATCGACTTTGGGAGTACTAGTGGCTAAATGTACTTACCACACCGCTGTAAACCAGCATACCTTTGCTGTCAACAGACATGCTGTTACCCCACCCTGCATCTGCTTTCTTACCACTTTTCTTGTGGGAACTGGTCCAGCTGGAAGAACAAAAGGAGGTTACTTTTCAGTGGCTCAGCTCCTTGGTTCGGCTTGCTGCACAAACACTAACACTAGTACAAGAAAGGTGTCAGAAAGAAGTGCAAAAGGGGAGTGAGGTTCTCACCTTTCAGCAGCAGCCTGGATTGGTACTGGGTTAAAGCATCCAGGTGATGACAGTCTTATTTGCAGCAGTTTTCCGATGGAGAATGTGGGGAATGCAAAGTCAAATCAGGGCTCCTGAGCAGTAGCTGAAGGATACTGAGCAATAGGCTACTGGTGTCCATGTCCTGTGTTTTAGAGAGAACAAGGTGCAGGGTTCAAAGTAATTTAAGGGGAAGACTATATGTTCCACTTTCATGGCTGGAATTCACACACAGGGTAATGGTGTTTAATTGGATGATGAGGATAACTGCTTATAAGCAAATACTCTAGGGAAGACAGTTTCTTGTGTAAGCTTACTGTCTGTTGCTAATTAATACTCTCTGTGTAATCTAGGCCAGAAAATCAGTCCAGAAGGTAAAGCTAAAATTCAGCTTCAGCTAGTATTGCATGCAGGGGACACAACCAACTTTCACTTCTCCAATGAAAGCACAGCAGTGAAGGAGCGAGATGCAGTCAAGGATCTTCTTCAACAACTGTTGCCCAAGTTCAAAAGGAAAGCTAATAAAGAACTTGAGGAGAAGAACAGGTAAAGGGAAAGGAGCCTTAAAGTTGTTTTGGTTTTTTCATTTTTTTTAATTAATTGTTATTTAACTATAGTGTATTTCTGCTAACAGTTGTTTTTGCAACATCATAGTAATATGGCATTTGTTTCCCTAGTAAAAATCTCTTTGCTTTCAATTTAGAGGCAGGTCCTTGAGACTTGTGTAACTGTAACATGTTGAGACTATTCTTGCATTCTCAGTGACACAGTCTTGAGGTGTAAAGGCAGCCAGCCTGGCTGCCACCCAGGCTTTGTTACCTATGGCTATGAGATGAAAGCACCCAAGTGGTAGTCTGTCTCTTCATAAGTATATAGGTAACAGTTAGAAAAGCTTCTTGAAAGATTTTTTTTTCTTGTACAGAAGTTCTCACATTCCTTGATTTGTGATATATTTTTTTCTTTTTTTTTTTCTCCCTGCATAATCCCTTCTCCCTGCCCCAAATCTTCTTTCCTGGTGTTTTATATACTCTACTAAATTGGTAGGTATTTTTGTGCATCTCGCTTGAGATGCAGTAGTTTTTTTAGTTGGCATACAGGATGTTTATTCTAAAAAATGTTTTGAGAAGACATTCTGGACCTAAGTCTTTTTCCCAAAAGCGCTTTTAAGATAAGCTTCCGTTCCTTTAACATGTTTGTGTTAAACCAGTCCTTGTGGCCATAGAGCACCCTTCTCTGCGTCTCCCCAGATGAGTTTCACTTCATGCTAGCATCTGCTGTGAATCCTGTATCTACTAGCTTCCGTTTCCAAACACCGTTCTAGCTTTGAACTTAGGTAAGTTAAAGCTAGATTTTTCAAGACATAGGAGCATTGCTTCATTGGGCAGATCAGATCTTTACAAGGAGATTTCCCAGCAGAAGAGCAAGAGCCCTTGTGCTGGAGCTCTGACATATCCAGGATTAACTGGTTCCAGTACTGCAGTGACCAGTATGGTCTATGGCAGCGCAGACTGGTTTGGCACTGTTACCATACTAGTTTCTTTATGCTACATGCCTTATTTCTAACAGTATTAATACTGAGTACCTGGGCAGTCTTAGCTCTGAATATTTTTATTCTTAAATGGAGTTTTACAGTATTATGACATCCACCATTAAGAGTTTTTCTAGTTACAGAAAAGCCAGCATCTCAGCACATACTCAGTCATAGTCTGATCTTTTGATGATTAGATGTTCTAGTCTAGTGGATGGGGCTTCCTTAGCTTAATTTGCAGCAGATGAGGCAAAAAAGTTTCAGCCTGTTCTGGGAGGGTACTACATCCAGAGTCCCCACAGGACTTCCAGCATTTATTGATATGTGGGGGTCAGGTATGTACCAACATTCCAAGTTTTAATTAAATAATTAGAATAACAGACTGCTTCCTGCTGCACTGATTTGCAAGAGCTGCCACTAATCCATATCTGTATCAGCAAGAAAAACTGGAAAAACCTTGGTGGCTAAAACATAATAGGGATGTCCTGCCACAAAGTTTTTATTTCCACCTCATCCTATTTCATCCTTAGAGCAGCTACAGACTTTCATTCAGTCCAGATTGCACTATATCCATTGTTCTTCCCTAGACCACCTACTACATGTTCATAAGATTCCTACTTTTTTTTTTTTGTTTGCAAATGATCAAGACCCCGAGGTATATGCTAAAAATTGTTGAGGTTATTGGCTGATTGTGAATGCGCATGCACGTTTCCCTGAAAATAGCCTAGTGGTTTTCAAATTAGGTATACAGCTGCTTGAACATTAATTATGAAAAGCTGCTTGAACATTAATTAACTGACGTTTCAGGTGCACATATTCTTTGCATTTTGGATAGTAAGGGTGATACTTGATATTTGGATGATAACTTTTGTAAACGTTATTCCCTGATGGAAGTAGTGACACTGAATGTTTCTGTAGCACTTGTGCTGCATGTGATATTGTTAAGTGATGAAGATCCTACTGTAACCAACAGAAACATAAATGAACAACTCAGGGTAATGTGTGTTTTAAAGTATCTTATCCCACACATATTTTGTAATCTGTACTCTTGCACTAGAATAGAGGCCTGTAACTATGGGATTTTAAGATTTTAAACAAAAATTGGACAGTGCTGAAATCTCCTTTTTTTCCCCCTCCTTTGTTATGAAAGTTCAGGAAAATTCGTTGTGCTTTTACAGTTCAGGAGACTCCAGTCCTGGATGCGCAAAGACAATAAGAGCACCACAGAATATTTTAGGACAAGATGTTAAGCCCACATTAACTTTTTCCTAGCCATTACTGTTTCCTAACCTTTGCTGCTATTCCTTAAACATTTTTTTTTTTAGTCCTTTATCTTGAGACAAATACAGCTATTGAGGTTGGTTGTTTACACAATCCTGTTAAGAAATGCGCACAGCATTTTGAAAGAAAAATCAGTTTCTGTTCCTTTTATGAACTCATGTTAGTTATGGAAATCCTAGTGATTTATTCTGCAGCGTTTCAATTCTATTCAATACATTCTTTTACCAGAATGCTGCAAGAAGATCCTGTTTTGTTTCAGCTCTATAAAGACCTTGTTGTGAGCCAAGTAATCAGTGCTGAAGAATTCTGGGCCAACCGTTTAAGCCTGAATGCAGGGGATAATTCTGCAGTACCTAGTAAGCAGGATGTGGGCATCTCTGCAGCATTTCTGGTACGTTGAACCTCTAACTTAAAGGATTTTAGAGTGAACAAATTGGGGAAAGTGAGAGTTCTGCTCATGTACTTTATTCCCATATACTTTAATGTTCTGTCCTGGTTCTTCAACTTAACATCTCTCCGCATGTTTGTTAGACTATTGCAAGTGTAAAGGAGAGGGGAAAAAACCCAACTAAAGGTTTTATGCAAATCTTGTAAATTTAAGATGCTCAATTTGAACTTTAAATTGGCAATAGGCAGATGTTGTTTATACTGCTGCTCTGTCTTCTGTAAAACAGGAATAATGCTGAACTTATAGTCACTAGATTACAGTGTGTTAACTCAATAAGTTAAAAAGAGTATCTGTTGCAGCATCGACGTGCATAAATGAAGCTGCAAAGACTTTCCACACAAAAGGTTTTATTCCCTCCCCATTTTTTTAAACCAGTGGATGCTTTCAGCTACTTGAAGAACAACTAGTATATCTGAGAGCTTGTTTTATCTCTCTCTT